TGGTGTAATAGTTTTTTGTTTTGTTTTGTTTTTAAGTAGGCTCCATGTCCAACATGAGGCTTGAACTCACGACTCTGAGTCAAGAGTCATATGCTCTTGACCGGCTGAGCCAGCCAGTGCCCTGTGTGTCATAGCTTCTAATAGTAAGTGAACAAGCCAGTCTTCCTGATAGATATAAGGGAGCCCATTTATCTTTATCCAAGGATTTCCTTATTAGTCCTTAAAATATATATTACATATAATATATATATGTATAGAGAGAATATATTCTTTATTTCAAAAAGTGACTGAATGTTAGTTTTACAGCTCTTAAATAGAAATATTATAATTCATCCTAGGAACTCTACTTTTAAACTATGTATTGACCAAAAGTAAATATGTACAAAGTGTCTGTTTATTCATGGTAAACAGGGATAGCTAATGTAGCAAACAGGCACTCAAACAAAAAGTAAACTTTACTTTGTTGGCCTTTAGGTTTAAAAGTGTTTTTATGATTAGTTGCATTCTAACTATCTTGAGAAATGGATGAACTGAGTGTCCAAGAGACAGTGTATCACAGTGAACAGAACGTGGCCATCAGTCAAGCCACTTGGCTCTATTGCTTACGAGCTGTGGGACATTGGGCATATTTGTTAACTTCTCTCCATCTCAGTTTCCTCATTTGTAGAATGAGAATGACAACATACCATAATGGAAACTGTGAGTTTTATCCCAACATCTATCTTCCTTTCTTTATCAGCCAAAAATCTCCAGACGATAGCTAGACACCAGGATGCCCAAAGTGAAGTCCACATTTCCAGCCTCCCTTGCAGTTAGATGTGCTTAAGTGATTAATTTCTCCCCAAAGAGGTGAAAAGAGAGGTGGCACCTGCCACTTCCAAGAAGTTTCCCTAAAAGAAGAGGGAGCTTGCCCTTGGGCTTCCCTTTTTTTCCCTTCCTGCAGGCTGGGATTCAGATGCAGCCAGTGGAGAGGAATTAGTGGTCTTGAAAAACAAGAGGTAAGCAGAGCATGGAGCCTAACCCAGCAAGAGCAGGAACTTGGGCCACTTATGATTACGAAACCACCATAAACACCCTAGATCATTTGCCCAGGCTTTTAGAGAAGGGGAAAAAAAGGCATATTTCTATTTTGTTTGAGGTATTGTTATTTATTTTCTGTTACTTCCTGCCCAACCTAATGCATGCCTAATCCATAGGGCTGCTTTAAAGATTAAATGAGATAGTATATGTCAAGTACTTTGTTCAGCTCATGCACAAGGGAGTGTCAGTGTCAATATCTGATTGCTGCTACTGTTATTAGGATAAAATAGCTCAATAAGAGACCACTCTAAGGGTCAAGTGAAAAATACAAGTGAATATGTTTTTTAATCTGTAAATCTAAAAATCTAAATGTTGGTCATAATTATCATCATCATTAAATTATTACAAGGAATTAGCTAAGTGCTAGCACAATCTACTTAGATCAATCTACCTAGGCCAATAAAAGAAGTAGACACAGACTTCTTTTGTTAGGTTTACTTAGTTTTAGTCAATTGTGAATATTTAGAGGCTTGTCATTATTTTGATGCTTTAGAACTTTGATGAAATACTCATTTGAGTAATATAAAGGAAATATATAGAACCCAGCAAAACTACGACATCTTTTATTTATTTACTTTTACCTTTAAAAAGTTCTCCATTACCAAAATCAATGTAGTGTTTGTAGTTAACATCAAGTACAATTACAAAAACTTAAGTAAAAGGAGAGTCCATCTCCTTCCTTCTCTTCCCCACCCCATTCTTTAGAATTAACTATATTACAGTTTAATTCATAATTCTTTATGGGTAAATATTTATTTTTTTTGTCTAATGACATAGATATACATTTTCTCTTTACAAAATAAATGCAATCATTTTTGCAGGAAGTTCAAAATTGCAGAAAAGAAAGTTTTGCAACAGCTTTTGGGTTTTGTTTCATTTTGTTTTCCGATTTATAATATCCCTTGAACATCGGGGCGCCTGGGTGGCTCAGTCGTTAAGCGTCTGCCTTCGGCTCAGGTCATGATCCCAGGGTCCTGGGATCGAGCCCCACATCGGGCTCCCTGCTCCGCGGGAAGCCTGCTTCTCCCTCTCCCACTCCCCCTGCTTGTGTTCCCTCTCTCGCTGTGTCTCTCTCTGTCAAATAAATAAATAAATAATCTTAAAAAAAAAAAAATCCCTCGAACATCTCTCCATGTTAGTACATATCCATCTATTTCATTTTTAAACAACTTCTAGGGAGTCATTTAAACTTTTTACTTATAAGTTATGGTTAAATTATTTGTGAAACAAAGGAGATTGCCCTTGAAATAAAATAATAGTAGGTAGCAACTCTGAGCACTGTGAAGATTTCATTAGATGATTCAGCAGAGTGCTTAGCCTAAAGTCTGCACATAGTAAATGATTACTAAGTATAAATATTAGGTATTATGGTATTGAAAATAACAATAATTAAAGTTAACCATTTCTCGGAGCTCCATCTCAATAAATTGCTATTGTCAAAGAAGTGGTTTTTTATCCTCTATAAGACATTACTCAATATATATATAATATTCCTCATATTTTCAGTTTAGACCCTGCTTGGGCTCTGTTGTATGGTGGAGGTGGGTGTCATGTTCTGGAGGACTGTCAGACTCAAGTTGGTTCTCTCCAGGATCTGCTCAGCCCTTGACTATCCAGCTCAGTGCCAAAACTGAACAAAAAATATCGTCCACCCTTCAGCCAGCTGCTGAGGCAGCAAAGAAGGCATTTAGCTTCTAGGGCATTTGGGAATCTAAAGATCCCTTGTCAGAAGGAGAGCCGCCTGCTGGGTTGAGCCTTTGGGACCAGTGGGGATTAGGGCCTAATGGCTCCTGAATAGCTACCAGGCAACCAGTGATGCAGCCTGCCCTGGGGAGATGAGTCACAGGGTGCAGTGGGTAGCAAGTCCCTGGGAGGAGCCAACTGGGGGTGTCTGCTCCCAGGAAGGGGCCGAGCTGATGTGGACTGATGGCCCTGGGACAGAGGGAGCGGACTGTGACAGGAACTATCACTCAGAAGGGGCAAATGGGAAATCCACCTTGAAAGATGGTAGCCTTCACCTTATAAATCTGATAATTTTGCCATTCCCCAAATGTCTTAAGTATAATTATACCAGAGCCTGAAAAACAGACTGAATTAGGGAAAAAAATGAAATCAAATTATTTCGTACAAACATACAATTCTGCCTTCAAATATGTTAGGTGCCCAGGTAAATAATGTTAAAAATAAATCCAAGAGCACCTCATTTTCTAAAACTGGAGTATTCAGGAATCTATATTTATCTGAAGTTGGTAGTAACTTTTTTCAGAACATTTCTGTTTCTTGTGAAGCTGGAGCCTTGAATGGTCATAGCTGGATCAGAAATAACACTGAACTCAGTACCATCATATACTTTTTTGCTCTTGTAGCATTCGAGGCCCTGAAATCCATCTCTCACTGCTCTTGAAAAACTCTGGGTCTTAAAGAAGGAATGCCTTTCGGTCATGTATCTACCAGGGATGGGGAGCCTTTTGATAATCCCCACAAAGTCTTTGCTGGCGGAGGTCTTGCTTGAACAGGCTGAGAGACTTAGGTTTGGATCTCAGTAGAAGTGCCTGCCACCACCATCATTCCTGTTTATATGAAGCCATTCTCAATCCCATAAACTCATAGGGTCATGGCATTTAGAACTTGTTAAATATCTTAGAAATTGCCAATTTGAACTCATTTTATAGAAGAGATAACTGAGCCATGGAGAAGAGTTTTGCCCAAGTTTAGATAGCTAATAATAATTTTATCCAAGGACATTATAATATAATCTTTTATGAGTTTGTTCATAGTCCCATTTTTACTAATGTATCACTAAAACTTTACTGTGTATTTATTGAGGTTTAAGTAGACAGGTAAAAATAAAGGCAATTCTGCTTACTGCTTAGGTCATAAAAAATGTTGGTTCTCAGTATAGACTTTCATATTCTGCTATTTTACTACATTCAAGATTTCCAGTTAAAATGTTGTGGTCACTTCCTCTGAGAAATCTTTCCTTTCCTCTCCAGAATAGGTTGGGTATCCCTCCCATGTGCCTGCCCATCACCTTGGCTTTCTCTCTGATAACATTTGTGACATTATATTATAGTTGTCATTTAAATTTTGATTCCCTATAACCCTTAAGCTCTATCAAATGAAGGAGCCAGGGGCGCCTGGGTGGCTCAGTCGTTAAGCGTCTGCCTTCGGCTCAGGTCATGATCCCGGGGTCCTGGGATTGAGCCCCACATCGGGCTTCCTGCTCCACCTGAAGCCTGCTTCTCCCTCTCGCACTCCCCCTACTTATGTTCCCTCTCTCTCTGTGTCTCTCCCTGTCAAATAAATAAAATCTTTAAAAAAAAAAATGAAGGGGGATGCCTGGGTGGCTCAGTTGGTTAGGCGACTGCCTTCGGCTCAGGTCATGATCCTGGAATCCTGGGATCGAGTCCGGCATCGGGCTCCCTGCTGAGCGGGGGGTCTGCTTCTCCCTCTGACCCTCCCCTCTCTCATGTGTGCGCTCTCTCTCACTCATTCTCTCTCTCTCAAATAAATAAAATCTTAAAAAAAAAAAAACTGGCTTTAAAAAAAAAAATGAAGGAGCCAAATAAGAGAGGGTACAAATAAATGTAAGAATTAAATAGTTACAAAGTTTATAAAATTTATAATTACAATTTAAAATTGATAATTACAAAAATTCACAAAGTTTTAAGATTTCTACGTAAGTAGGACAGAATATAATACTTGTTAGCAGAGTTCTCTGTCTTTGCCTTTATGTGCCTATTTACATGTGGGGGTATTGGAGGTGTGGGGCAGACACCATCTAGGGGACCCCCCACGTTTCCTGCCTCCTGAGGTTCACTTCTTTCTGTAATTCTCTCCTCTTGCGTGTGGCCTTTGACCTTCTTCAAACCAATGAATATGGCAGAGGTAAGGAGGTGTCACTCTTGAGATTATATTACCTTATATAAGACAGTCTGGCAAGCGGACTTCTCTAGAGGCTCTCTTTGCTGGCTCAGAGAAGGAAGCCACGGGAAAGCCTGTGTGGCAAGGAGCTGCAGGTGGCCTCTAGGAAATGGGGGTGTCTGCTAGGAACTGAGGGCAACATCCAGCTGACACTCAACAAGAAGCCAAGATCTTCAGTCCTACAAGTGAAAGGAGAATGAGTTCTGCCAACAACCTGAATACACTTGGAAGAAGATTCTTCCCTATTTAAGCCTCCAGATAAGAATACAGCCCAGCTGACACCTTGCTTGCGGCTTTGTAAGATCTTAAGCAAAGGACCCAACTAGGTCATGCCTAGACTCCAGACTCACAGAAATTGTGAGATAATAAATGTGTGCTGTTTTCAGCCATGAAATTTGTGGTAATTCATCACACAGCAAGAGATAACTAGTATAAAGTGTTAGTTTATACAGATGCTGCATAAATAACTAGCCCTCCATTGGAAGGAAGGGAGGAAGGAAGGAAGGAAGGAAAGAATATAGCTTCAGTTAAAGTTTCTAGATTTTTTAGAGGATTTATTTGGTCACTTTAAAATCGGTTTAAAAAACACCCAAAGATGTTACCTTAAAAGATTTTAAGAAAATAGCAAACATCAAATATCTATCTGACCTGGGAGGTTTAGGCAAATTTTTATGGGTGAACTCTGTGAACGTATAGGACTGAAGAGGATCTTAGGAAGACCAGTGATTTATGTGTGTCTTCAGGCAAGGTTGTCCCTAAACCTTCCCAAACATACAGTGACAATGATGATGATGACATGAATATTATGAGGTTCCATTTATTGAGTTCCTCATATGCATCACACAGAATAGGAAGCAACTGACTTTTACAGAGCACTTAAAATTGTTCATGTATTGTACTGTGAACTTTATATAAATAATCCTATATTAAATATAGGATTTCTCTTTCACAGTAAGCCACGAGTATTATTTTCCCCCATTTTATTGCCACACGTGGGCTCACATACTTGGCATGCATGCAAAAAGAGACACATGGAAAGATAGCGCTTTATTCCAAGTCAACCAGCAATTAAGTTGTGAAACTGTGATTCAAATACATAATTAACCATTCTCACTACCTGGAAATTTCCCCAAACAATCTGATTTCCAACTTTCACGCTATATTTTAATCTCAAGGTTGCTACAGATGTGAAAAAGGCAATTCACAGAAGAGAACGGCAAATGGCTCATAAGTATACAGTCCAATGGTCACCCTCACTAGCAGTCAGAGAAACATATATATATATTTATCAGGTTGGTAAAAATTAAAACTTTCAATAATATCAAGTGTTGGGGAGTCTGATTAGATCAATTTGCAGTATTTGGAGAGATTCACCATGTGTAGATCTAAGACCTAACCTAGGGCCAGCAACCTAGTTTGTAGAAGCTAGGAGCTGGTGTCAACCTAGATCTATCATTGGAGGAATGGATAATTAAAATGTGTTGGATGCCTCCTATGAAATAACACACAGTGGTTAGAAGCAATGAATTAGTACATATAGCAACATCTTAAAAATACAGCATTGAATGAATAAAAAGTACAGGAGAGAATGAGATCTACTGTGCAGCACCACTTATGTATATTAAGCCAGGCATACATACAACCAGTTTATGTATTTTTAAAAGACATTTACAATAACCTATATTGAACTCATTAAAAGAGGCTGCCTGTAGGAGAGGGAAAGATAGATGGTGGGTGGCGGGGGAGGGATAGGGAACAGACTGGAAGAAAAAAAACATATGAAGGAAAATAAAGGTGGGGTCTTGACCAGACTAATAATTGTTAATTATGAACTAATTAAAACATCTCTCAGCATTTGAGGTCCCCCAAAAGACAACTAGAAATGCTGTGGAATGAAGCTTTATTATTATTGGCTAAAGACTTTATGTTGATCTGGGATATTTGAATTTAAAAATGGGTACCCAACTTTTTACTGGAAAGAAGAGTCACATCAGGATAATGCACTCTCAAATGCTGAGGGAAATAGAGATTTTTTTTTCTTCTAAAAATAAAGTGGGGCAATTTCTTAGATTTGTACTTGGAGAAAACACAATGACAAATATTTTGGCAAGGTGTTAGAACTTGTGCATTAGTCTTGTCTTAATGGAAGAGAATCTGATGAAATCATTACATTTAAGCAGAGCAATCTTATAGTAGATGACGCTCTATCTATGTATAAACAGCCAAAAGAGACTTTCAGCCTAGGTTTCATGGTGCATCCCACTTATATACTCTCTAACCAAGGACTGTGGGATCATACTCAGGTCTATGTGAATATCCAGCTCAACAAGGCAGGGCACACCAATGGAATTTTTTTTTAATCCCAGTCAATCTGAGTTCACAAGGAAGAAATTACAAGGAATAGTTGACATAAGTCTTTTCCAAACAATTACACATATTTGACATAGTTTAGACATGTGATTCAGAATACATTTTCAATCTAGCATTTTAGAACTCACTTAGGAAGTCACAAATTATAAATGAATGAATGAATAAACAAATAAACCAACGAAAGCAAGGCAAACAAAAATAGAAAATGCAAGGTACATGTCTTTGCTATAAATACAATTATCACCATTGGCTATGAATTTGAGGGAGTATGTCCCACAATAAATGCTATCATTCGGCTGAAAATGATTTTTGCCTATTTTGAAAAGTAGCAGATAGATGGAGGATAAAGAAAAGGTGAGTAAGAAATTTAATGACACAGAGAACATTAGCATGGACACTATGCAAGGATGACATATAAATTCGCAAGTGTCCCATATTAAAAAAAAGAAAGGAAATTACTCCATCTATCTATACCTTTGGGGAATGATGAAATGTTTTATATAAGTGATTGATCACTTAACCTGATGACTACTTTTTTTTTTAGTTCACCCACCTCTTTTTCTTAATGAAAACACTTTCTGTGGAATTTTCTAGTTTGTACAGTGGATAGAAATTAATGATATACCTTTAGGCATAAGATCTCCAGGTATCCATCAACTCTGATGTAACACAGTAATGTCTGTAAGGGCCTTCGGGGTGTAAAGCCTTAGCATCATATATATAGCCCTGAACTCCACGTTTACAAAACTAGTCTGCCTTTTATTGGTATCTTCCTTCTCAGTCTTCTGTCGTTTCCTCCTGCCATGATTGTTTTAGCTGTTCTACCCTTTCTTGGCCATCCCCATGCCTACCACATTCACATCCTCTCCCATCGGAAAAGAATCCACGGACTTTGTGACAACCATGTAGAGTAGCTATTCTCTTCTTACTTCCTGGTGTGTGTATCCAACTCGAATACCCAAGGCAAATTCTAAAAGCGTAGTGGTACCCAGACTAGAAAATCCTTTCTGACTGAAATTATTTTAAATCAAACTGTCATGGTTTTTCCTGTCTACTAATAGGTAAATGTGTCCCATTTGGAGTTTATAGTTCATTTCATTCTACAAGGTGATCCACCAAAACACCAGATATAATTTTATCCATACTTATTTTATTGTGCTCCTCCTGCATTTTACCAGGGAGTTCGAGATAAGTTTTTTTTTTTGGTGTTTCCACCAAAACACCAGATATAATTTTATCCATACTTATTTTATTGTGCTCCTCCTGCATTTTACCAGGGAGTTCGAGATAAGTTTTTTTTTTCCTCTTTGCTCTCTTCTGCTAACTCCAAAATTTCCCAGAGGCTAATAAAATCTGAAACTTAATAAGTTCCTAGTTATAGCAACAGCAAAATTTTAGCATAGCTTAAGAGATATGAATAAAACTTCCCAGGCTTTTTTTCTCATTAGAATGCTACTCTCCAGATACATAGAATAAGCCTCATGAATGAAGCTATGCTTAACAGTAGAACTGTAACAGAATTTCAGCGAGCAGCTTTTCATTGGAGGCCCTCTAAAGTTGAGCCTTTCACATGGCCCACAGTGTATAAACTATGACCTACAAACATAAGCCTTTCAAACACTAAATACAATGCCCTGTTCCTAGTAGGTACTTTATAAATAGTAGAGCACCATTTCCCTCTCTTTCCTCCTTAAAATAACCTTAACCAGTAAACATTTCAACCCCATTTTTCTGAATGGAAATTAAAAATAACAATAACCACTTGGCCCTACTTGGTCAGAATGAAAAAAGGTACATCTGCCTACCCAGGCTGATTACAGAAGCTTAGCGGTAAAACTATTTCTGAACTGGTCTGCGTTCTTCCAACTTAGAGGCCTCCTTAAGTATCAGCCACCATCCTGCTTTGCAGGACTGTAATTGCTCGAGTTGAGGAAGGGTTGGGTGGTCTGGGCTGTGCACCATGTCATGCACTGCCAAGTCAATCAAATGGCCATCAGGACAGTGTGAGGACAACTGAATGCCTATGTGAGTAATTCTGAGTCTGTAAGCACAGAGTGTACATAGGAGAACAACCCTTAAACGGCCTAAAAAGCATAAACTGTAATATGCTGGACTCCCACAGTCACACTCCAATTCAGTAATGTTTTCAATCAGTATTAATGAAAGGTCCTTTTTTCAGGGGCTCACATGTTATTTTCCTGAAAGGAACAAAACATGCTAGAAGACTATCTTCTAATTCCTACCTTTGTTTCTTTAATATTATTAAATCATAATGTACAGTAAACTCTGATGTCATACTGAGACAATACTTCTGTAAATCTAACATTTTTATTACACTCTCAAGTCACAAATATGGTTATATCACAAATTTACATGTAATGCATAGTCCCCAAAGAAAGAACTCCATTCCCTAAAAAAGTGACAAAGCATTTGGGCATATTTCTGAGCAAGAACATTCAAATCAAAATTATCAACAAGTGGAAAGTGACCGTTTTCTATGAAGAAAACTATAGAAAATAATTGAATCAGTTTACCATTTATAGCAAAAATAAAATAATCCATACCTGATGCATTCTGTGATACTTTAGAAACTTTCCAATCATGGCATTTGCAAAAAGAAACATATGTGTATCTAATATTTTTCTTCTGATATACATATAAAGTACAAGAACAATCATGGCAATCAAAAGTTTTATGTAATTTTTAAATTTGATTTAAGAATGTCCAGTGGAAAGCCACTTTTAAAGCATAATATCACAACAATTAAAATATCTACAGTTCATTAAATTTAAAAATATTCTTTTACTTTCCACCTGAAAGGTCAACAATTAATCCATGTTATAATTTATTTTGTAATCTACCTCAATTTAATACTTGCAGGATTAACTTCTCTGCAACTTTTCTTTAATATTCTGGGATTCAAAGTTCTTTCTAAAAGGTTTCTGAAAATATTGGTATCTTTCTTCCCCTTGTATAAGAGGAGTTACTTTTTTTGGAAGGGGGGCAGTTGCTTTAAAAAAAACCACATGAAATGTGAGTGGGCACCCAGTTACACACTGTTTTAGTTTTAAAATGGGAGGGGATGGTGGTGGGAAATACTCACAAAAAGATACCTGTGATGCAGACTCTTCAATTCGTTCATTTTATGTTTTCTTTCTTTTTTTTCCTCCTTAATGAAGGAGAGGAAAATAAATCTTTGACATTCCAAGGAAGTGATTCTGAAGTGTAACCTCCATCAGATCATCTAGAAGATCAACTGTCCAACAACATTATATTAAAGGCAGTAAATAAGGTTGTTCCAAAGACCAGACGAAAGCTGGAGCTTCTGTCAATGGCCATGACTGAAGCTCATCACGGTTTGGACACTGCAGCGGAAACCTCAAGCCTTATGCCCTGAGCAACAATGAAGATATTGTACAATCAACTAGGATTACAGTGAAGAAAAACAAAGTGCTTTCAGATCATAAAAGAAATGATTATCACGAGGAAAGAGAAGGGACTGTTGGATTTAAAAGGCAACCAGAGAAAAATAAAAACAAAAGTAAATATAAAACATCAGCACCCTACCCCCGAGGATGTTAAAATCACAAAGAATTTCCAAAGAAAATATAATAAGCTCACAGATGAAAAAGCATTTACACAATCCATCTCAGGATGTACACTTTGCTAAATGATCTGCAAAATAAGAAAAAGAAACTGATTCATTGTAGAGGTGCATTATCTGAAGAGTACACAGTGTCCAGAAATTCTGTTGCTTCTTTCATAAGAATCAGTGTGAGGTTTGCATTAGTAAAGATGGTGAAGTCATTTTATAAGAAGGAGGAGGAGGAGGAGGGGAAGGAGGAGGGGGAGAAGGAGGAGGAGGGGGGAAAAGAAAGCTAGAGAACTAGTATCAAGCCAAGAAGCAAAAGGGAGTGTCAGCAATGTTTATTTCCAAATATGGAGAGGACTTATTGCAATATAATAAAGTGCCTCCTTTTTCCTTCAACTAAGATGGAAAGTTAAAAATCTCCAGTATTCCTGAAAAGAGATGGTTTCTGCAAATGATGCACTTTTTAAATACCTTTCAATAGCTACTGTTGAAATTTGGCTCATGAAAAAGTTGCCAGAGGGGAGGGCAAAAGAGGTGAAGAGGAACCGGAGGTACAGGCTTCCAGTTAGGGAATGAAAACGTCATGGAGCTCCAAGTCACAGAGTAGGGAATATTGTCAATGGCATTGTAACAGCGCTGTATGGTGACAGATGGGAGCTATACTTCTAGTGAGCATGGAATAGACTTGTCCAACCACTATGTCGGACACCTGAAGCTATTATAACATTGCGTGTCAACTATTCTTCAGTATAAAAAAAAAGGTAAAAAAAAAAAAGCTGCAGTTACATTTTTCATGAGGCAAATGACACTAGGCACACCAGTTAGTTGTGCAATGTCTTGCCACTGTTTTGTTTCAGGAACACTTGTGTCAAAATTTGTAACAGTGTTTCTTATCCTCTTATGTCCCAATACACCTGATGTGAATGTTATTCTCCTATCAGTGACAGGCATCACTGCAGCAATCATGAATCCTTTCAGAGAAGATGATGTTGAGTGTTAAAACGCTTCTCTAGTGGGAAGCTGAGAAGGGGCCACAGCTTTAAATACCTTGTTCAGGAGCTTCTGATAGGACCCCCAGGGGGTGTAAATCTCTTCCCCTTTTGAGAATCACTAATCTTCTCAAAGGTTTATAAACTCCTTTCCCCCTTAAGAATAACTGATCTTTGAATGAAGATAAAGAATTTATAGATTTTTTTTCTCCATGCCAAGTTAGCAAGCTTCCAAAACATGGTGTATATATGCTGGATTCACCAAGGTGATTCAGTAACTCACATTTGGTAGGGCTTGCACTTTGAGATATATATAATTTTTTTTTTCCCTTGTAGCAATGAAAGATTTATACCTATTCATCACTTTATTGTGATCACCAGCAGAGGAAAGTTGTCTGGGGTTAAGGGTGTAGACAGGCCATGGGATAGAATGAAGTTTCACTTTGGCTTATCTGCTCAGCAATTCTTACCAAAGCTAATAAACCATAGATCAAAGTCATATGTTTACAGTAATATTAATGGCAACCTCAGTTTTAAGTAAATTATCTGGGCCTTTCATTCAGATGTGTGGATCTTAGGAAGATGAAGGAGGTCAGACAAGCCTTGGCCGTGACAACATTCACTAGGATGACTAGCAACTGACACAATTAGCTTTAGTAGCCACGTAAGTCTTTAAGTGCTTAATGACTATTTTTCTATCCCAATGACTGAAAAACTATATAAAAAAGTAATCTCCTTATACATAGGCATTGCATCCCACCAGTGGATTCTGTAGTAGGCACCGTCTTCCTCTTCGGGATCAAAGCATTCCTTCCCCCAGCTGCCAGGATGTTGGCTGCTGGTGGCTCACAGCTAAGCCCTTTTTTAGGAATTATCCTTGGCCAAAGATTATACCCCTTACTGGAGTGGAGGGAGGGACAGCCTGCGTACAATGCAGGGCCAAGAGGAAGGTGGAGCAAGTGAGGAATGGGCCTTGCCACAAAACTCAGTAATCAAGCGAAATAGTATCTTCATGCGCTATTTTTAAAAACAAAAAATATGAAGAATCCACGATGATCAAATATGACAATTTTAAATAAAGACAGCATCGGTAAGAACTAATTTCTCTTTCGGCCTCAGGCTCCAATATGGGTCCACACAGCACTCCTACTGATCCCATCTTTTTTTTTTTTTAAGATTTTATTTATTTATTTATTTGAGAGAGAGAGAGAGAGAGAAACAGCATGAGAGGAGATAGGGTCAGAGGGAGAAGCAGGCTCCCCGCTGAGCCGGGAGCCCGATGTGGGACTCGATCCCAGGACTCCGGGATCATGACCTGAGCCGAAGGCAGTCGCTTAACCAACTGAGCCACCCAGGCGCCCCCTACTGACCCCATCTTTATTTAATATGGTTCAATATTTTGTTCTTTGTGGATGTTGTATTAATTTAGATTTCTAGAAATAGTGCATTAAAATATTTATCTTGGTTACTGAGTTTTTTGGCACCCCTAAATTTTATCCTTGAGCAGAGCGCCTCCCTTACCTCACCCTAGTCCTAACCCTGGCAGGTGGTACCATTGCTTGGCTCATTTGCCCTATGGAGGGACAATGCTGAAGGGCCATCCCAGCAACAGAATCCCTGTGGGACCGGCTGAAGCCTTTCTTGTGACTTCATTGAAGTCCAATCCTATTTCTCTCATTCCCTTCCCAGTGTTATTCCGAAGAACACCCTTACGGGCAAGTCTCTGTCTCTGTGTGTTTCCCCTAAAACGTCCCCATAGAAGAGAGGTGAAAATCAAAACTCAGAGAAGCTGTGGGACTTGCCCAGGTTCTCCGAGCTCCTGAGTGGTGGAGATGAGAACCCAGATATGTCTAACTTGAAGCCAGGGCTACTCTTGGTAACACCCATAGACTAAGACCAGAATTTAGGACTACAGTCAAATAAGCCAAAGGTCAAACCCAGATCCCAACAATCCCCATGCATTTACCTGATAGTGAACTGGAAATCAGGCTGATTTCCAGGAAGTAAGCCTCTGCTTATGTCAGACCCTGCAGCATACAGAATAATGCCTGCCCCACCCCACAACAAAGATATCTACCTCCTAATCCCTAGAACCTAGGAATATGTTAACTGACATGGGAAAATGGATTTTTCATCTGTCATTAAGTTAAGGATCTCGAGATGGGCAGATTATACTGCATTTCCAGGTGGCCCAATATAAGCACAAGGGGCCTTTTAGGGAAAGAGTTGTGATGATGGAAGCAGAGGTCAGAGGGGTGTGACCATGAGCCAAAGAATGCGGGCATCCTCTAGAATCTGGAAAAGTCAAGGAACAGATTCTCCCCTAGAGCCTCCAAAAGAAACACAGTTCTCCTTGACCTTGATTTTAGCCCCATAAGAGCCATTTGGACTTCTGACCTCCAGCAGTATGAGAAAATACGTTCATGCTCTTTCAAGCCACTCCGTTTGTGGTAATTTGTTACAGCAGCAACACGAAAGGAAAACAGATCCCAAAGGTGGCATCTTTGCCCTCACATCATGGCCCTGCTCACCACACTCAGAGGTGGAATGCATCCCTAACAGAAATCACACAGAACCAGCAGTGGAATTTAACAAATGACTTCTCAGTCGTGTTATATAGAAAAAAATTTTTTTTCAAGAACTTGGATATGTGAAAGGATTGATGATCTTGTTCTGGCTCCAGATGGTCATGTTCTCCTAATGACAGATGGAAGTCAGGACAGGCGGGCTCCTCTACATGGAAGAGAGAAATGATTAATATAAGAAGGCCAGCAAGATCCAAGATCTCTTTAAAGCAAGCTTCTTTCTTTTCAGATTCTTCATTAATTCTCTTTGAACTGTGAATATTATATTCCTAATATTTTACAATGGAACAAACTACTCTTGTTTTTCTTCTCTCTCTTTGCTGCACTTGAAGAGTTTAGAGTTTAAGCTTCTGCACTGAAACAACAACAAACATTTTTGTTGTTCTTGCTGATCAGATCTGGGGTCTGATGTGCCATCAATTTTATTATAAAAAAGCTGAATATTGGGGTGCCTGGGTGGCTCAGTTGGTTACACCTCTGCCTTCAGCTCAGGTCATGATCTCAGGGTCCTGGGATGGAGCCCTGCATGGGGCTCCCAGCTCAGCGGGAAGCCTGCTTCTCCCTCTCCCACTCCCTCTGCTTGTGTTCCCTCTTTCGCTGTGTCTCTCTCTGTCAGATAAATAAATAAAATCTTAAAAAAAATTTAAAAAGCTGAATATTAAAGAGGTTTTTGTTTGTTTTTTAAGACTCATTAGAAGAAAGGGACAAAAGAAGCCAAAACAGGAGAATTTGGGGCACCAAGAAAATATCTTGAACAGAAACAGAAAACAGTAGGGCTTCACTACAGGTAGGAAAGGGGTCCTGTCATGGGGACAGACAAGAAGAGAGAGGAAAGTACCAGTACCATGTGTATGTAAATCAGGGGTGGGACGGGGAGGAAAAGGGGCAAGGGGAGGCGGTTATACCTAAGCAGATGGGACCTGGAGCAGT